TGCAGCTTTCATACAGAATGTGAAGGTCCAGAGACTAGGGTACCATAAACAGGGATACTCTGTACAGCCCTTGAAACAGAGTATGTATTTGCCAGGTCTGATGAATGAGCAGACATAGTGAAACGATGCTGTCTCCATATCCTGAGTTGCAGTTGCTCATACCCTTCTCCAGCTCAACACTGAAACTTGAGGAAATGTAGATCAAACAACAGCTCACAACCTAAGGAGAAATCCAGCTGAATTTATGTCTTCAAAGCAGGGGTGTGGCAAAAGAGGACCGATGAAATAGAGGGCCAGATGACAATACAGGTTGATCAGAAGCAAAAATACTTATTTCTAAATATTCTTTTTAAACTGGAAAATGAGTGGTATATATTTTGAGGCAACTTGCAGAATGTATGAGCAAAAAGGTAACAAGTAGCAGTTATTTTTTACTATCCGGATTCTTCCACCCACAGGTTACTAGTAATAGTTTCTGGTTAGGAGCTTACTATAAATGAATGTTATGCATGTCCTTGCTTATGTGCACACACACACATATAATAATATTATATTGCATCTGAAGTTCTGGAATATTTTCCTTACTTCCTTTTGTTGTTGGGCCAGTCATTGGCTACTGATTGTTTTCTTAAAGCCAGTGAGCAATATTTAAGATGTGCTGCTTCTTCACTTTAATTTCATATCTCTACCCTGCATATCAAAATGAAAAATCAGAAATGCAGAAATTGTTTTTCCTACAATTATCAACATTTTCAGGGCTAGTTAGTTCTGAAAAGTGTGAAAGTACATTGCTGTATTCATGCAGTTGGAGACACACCTATGCAGCTGATTTTTAACCGCTGTAGGCAAGGCAAGTTGGAATGGGATTTAAGATGAGGCACATAATTTTTTTTCAACGCTTGAATGAAAACCTGAAGCATTTGACAAGTGTATGATTGAGCTGCTGATCCAGGAGGCTAGTTTGTTGGGGTTTTTTTTCCCCTTATTTTTGTTTCCCTCCTTCTACAAACCTCTAGCTGCAGCTTTGTATTGCTTATGTTTACAAAGTTGATGTTACATTTGTTTAAGGGAGAGATATCACCTCTTATTTAAAAGGAAAAAGCCCCATTAAAATGAACTCAACTTCAAGACAGAGTTTACAATTGCAAATCAAATATTAAATCCTGATCCCTCAGGGCTTAACTGTACCAGTGGTGAATTGAAACGCAGAGTGTGCACGCTAAAGTAAAAGGGCAGGGTAGGGCAGGGCAGGGTAGGGCAGGGCAGGCCTGTGGCACTTCTAAAGCTTTGTAACACAAGTCAGGACAACAATTATCAGCAAGTCCATTTTCTAGGCTTCAGTATTTTAGACTACCGAAGGGTTGTCTATGTTAGGAAAAGTTTATGTTAAGAACACACAACTCAATTGCTTCTTTGCATGCAGTGAAACCTGCATGACCCTGCATTAGCAGGATGAACAGTTTTTCATTGCTGTTATGGAAACTGTGATTAAAATGGTCTCAGCTGCCTTTGCTATAATAATGGTGTTGCTGGAAATGTTTTTCTCTCATTTAAATTTTCATGTTAGGCCACTCACAGCAATACTTACCATAGAAATGGTCACCAGTGAAGTTTGTCTGAAGAAGGTCATTTTGCCTGTTAAATAGAGACCTTTGAGTTTCTACAAGAAATGTTTTGATGACTAGTTGATGCTTCACATGGTGAAGGACATTGGGCAGATATGTGCTGGATATGTGCAGGTATACCAAATGACTGTCTCTAGACATGATTTACCTCCAGTGTTTTTCTACTGAAAAGGCAGGTCAGTCTAAAATACACGACAGAATAACAGCTCAGAAGTTTTAAAACCTGTGGGAATGTACCAGTATCCCACTCAGCACATCATCTCTGAAGGTGTTACAATGTTGTGAACAGATGACCAAGGAAGGACAGTAAAACACAAGCAAAAAGTTCTTCAAAGGAAGGCATATACCAGCTGACTGTTTCGATTTTTAAGTTGTTAAATGTTTTTAGTAGCACTGAAGATCAAAAACCAGATTGTTCATTTATGGCATAGCCCATTCTAACGAAAACTCTAGAGAGTCTGAAAATATTACAACCTACTTATAAACTCCCATTATCAAGTTTTTTTGTTTTTAATAAATAAAGTCCCATAGAAACAGAAAGTATTTACAATTAGATCAAAATTCTGAATATAATTCACAAGAGAAAATGCTATTTTTTGAGAAAATGTTTTTGTATCCTCATAACAGTCATTTGTTCTAAATTAGTACATCGCAATTGTCCATTAAATGAACATTTTTCCCTTAAGACCTATTCTTGTAGAAAAGTATTTTAGGCAAAACTTCCTAACCATGATGTAACCGTTTAGAATCAGGACATTTCTGTGATTAGTAATTCACATGAAAATTAACATTTTCCATGGCTTGGGGAAAACATGATGAATAACTATCAAAATGTAAGAGAAGACAGGATGTAGGGAGAGCAGTATATTTTATTAGAGCAGCTTATACAGTTGAAAGAAAAGTGTAGGCTTTTGGGCATTCAGTCCCTTCATCCTAATAAAGGGTAACACCTGTTCCTGCAAAACTGTCTTCTCTTTTATCCTTAGACCATTATGACTACCATTATGCCACCATTCTCAAAATATATGGATTATATACGTCTACATTGGACTGAATGGCTTAAACACCATCACTGCTAAACTGCTACTTTCAAAAATATTGCCACTTGCAATAAAGTAGAATTAAGCTCTTTGAGTTAACATGCTTCTTGGTTACACAGAAGTTTTTCCTGTAACAAAGTCATGAACTTAATTTCATTGTCAGTGCATCTCTGCCACTGTCCTTTTCAAATAATTTTTAATATCACTTCCATAAGAACATCACCTAGAATTCTTCTTTATTTAAAACTAATTTTGAACTCTCATTTCTAGTGAAGTCAATGTAAAATTGGATTCTAGAAGAAATGCAGGCTCAGATTAATAGTTTTTGCTGTGTGTTACTATCATAGGAATTCAGTGTTGGAGCTGTGGTCCGTCTCAGTGCCAGTTAATATTTGATATGTCCTCCTACAGGAGGGGATGAACTCTGCAATTAAATAGAGGTTCTCCCACTAAGTGGTAGATGGCAAAATTTCAAATGGCTAGTGTCCAGTGGAAAACAACTTAAAACAAGACGAGAGAGAATATTTTCTTTTGAATTCTAACACCCACAAATTAGCGCGCATGTAATTCTTGTCAGAATCCGATGCTCAGCTAGTACAATGTGCCTGTCTTGAAATGTGCAGAAAACATGCAATCTTGAGCATTAGCATGCAATATTCCATTTGCTTTAGGGCAATCATTTCTAAGGTACCTGAAATGATCTCACTGCAAACTTAGTGAAGATCAAAGCTGTTCACTTTAGCCTCATACTGACTTCATAACAGTGCAATTTCATCTGTGGGTTTTAAACCTCGAGGCTGAATGACACAATTCTCCAAACTTCCTGGTGGGCACAATGCCCTACTACTGACCGTAGGCCCAAAGGTTATCTGAAATAAGTAGCAGGAAACATTGTCCGGTGTAGAAGGCATGAGCTTAAGGATTTATTTTAATATTTGCCTCTGTCAGCCTCTTTATTGCATAATTTGCACCAACTTAGATTTTCAAGGTCTACATTGGGAGTAAGGCCAATTTATACTCCCTGAAAATCCAGTCTACTCACATATACACTTACATTACCTCTTGGTCCACTTATATATCACCACTGAACTTGTCTCACTAAATTTAAGGCACACTTCTTGCTACATAAATAAAATGTGGACATGGTGAGGAAACTAAGGATACTCAATTGAGGACTGCTCCTTACTTCAATATATATGTTACCATTAGTGGCTTTTTTTTCCAACATTCCCTCTTCGGGTCCACCAGTGTGGATCCCACCTGCCTGACTTTGTCAGGGGTCACATTCACAAACAGTAAATGTGGGCAGGCTAAATGTGAATCTAAGGGAATCTCACATCAGTACTGAGAATACCAAAAGAAGCTAGTGTAAGTAAGTTTACCTTCTGTTAAATTTATTCACTCTCCTATGCTTTGCTCACAGTGGAAATCTTGGGTGATGTTATAGGGCAAGATATATATGAAAATTAACAATCTTAACAGCAGTGAACATCTCAAAGCGTTCTTGTTCCCAGTGATAAACAATGATAGCTCAAGCCAAACTAATGTAGTAGAGTTTCCATTACAGGTTTATGTTTTAAAGAATGAATTCAAACCTTGCTTTTGTTTAGGAGGAGTCATGCTATGCCAATTCTCCGTGACATTTTTTACTGAATATGTTGTTCAATGATAGTTCATCAAATAATTTGGGAAGGTCTCAGGCCAAGTGGTTTGTACAAACCTATTCCAACTACAGACTCAACAGAGTGACTGAAAGCCGCATTAGCACTGGCTGCTGTGGGATGTGCATTGGAGGCCATGGGAGGCAGCTGCACGGAGCCCCCACCCAGGCTGCTGCTCCACCTGCCTCGGGCTTGCATGAGCAGAGTAATTAAAAAGACTCTGCTTCCTAAGAGTGATGAGCAGTGCATATTCCTTCCTTAATTAATTTTTGAAATGGCATCTAGTTTTTGGGTTTGCCCACAAATGATGGGCCTAATTCATACTTACACTAAGACCTCTTTACAGAGCTCTATCAGTGTAAAATTATATTACGGTAGGCACAAATATTGTCAGACCTGACATTTCTAGCTTTTGCCTTTTAAGCTCTCATAGGAAGTTACACTAATCTGTGATTCAATTTTATTATTTTGCTGCTGCCTTGGGAGCACAAAATCAAACATAATACTTAAAACGTTTTCCTAGAAATGTTTAAGGAGAAAGATTTTTATTTTTAAGTTGAAAATTTAACTGCATGCTTAACCAACTTCAGTGAAGCATTAATCATACTGGACAAGCAATTTTAAGAAATAAGATAGTTTAAAAAATTAATTCTGAAAATACTGCCAAAAATTTCATGATATAGATATTTTTAATATTAAAAGTAAATTGTAAATATGTCTTTATAAACAATATGCATAAAATAGATCTACTATACTAAGCTCTCTCTTTTTAAATGCTGTTTCACAGTAATTTCTTAGGTATGCAAAGTTTTCCCTCAAAGAAATAGTGCAATCTGAAGAACATACATTATGTCAGCGGATTAGAACTACTATGGTCATTAATATAAGTCTTTATAGATTTCTTGTAGGAGTGGATGAAGACTCATATCTGTCTCCGTTTTCTTTATTATTTGCAACAGCTGCACATGTTCCGTTACAATCTGTCTGAGGTCCGTCATTTTCTGAAGCAACTTTGCAAACAGCTGTGATGATTCTGGATGATTCAGCTTTAGCTGGAGCTCCAAAGCTTGCAACAGATTGTCTTGTATATCTTCAATGGGCTTCACATTTAACAAACCTGGGCGATCTAGGAAAAAAAAATGGGAGTTGTAAGTTTATGAAGAATATGGAAACATTGATCTCATATATTAATTTCTTAAAGATTTCTTAGTATATTAAGCATTTACATATGGCACTTCCTGCAAACTGTTTGACAATTTCTTAATGTATTTATTTGTAAGATTTTACCAGAATTTGCTCAAAGAAATTTTAGAACTAGTCTTAGACACAGTTTAAGCATTTGTGTGGTGCAGATACAGAGACAGGTTTATACAATACTATAGCGCATTTTCCACAGTAAACTGGGAGTGTTTATGGAAAGGAAGAGTGAGATATAGTTGGGGGATAAACAATCTGTATCAGGTAATTCACTTTTGGAAAATCAACATCTACTTAGATGGATTTGCACATAGTTGCTACCATTAAAAAAGTTTCCTGCTAAAGTGGATGCTACCCTATCAAAATAAATAAAAAAAAGGCATAAATTCAACTTCTGCAGCCATACTAACCTGGGAGATTTAAAAATCACAGGTTCGGTTCTTCTCCACACCCAAGTTCCAGCTGCTATTAAGAAGTCTCACGATAGCTTTTAGCATCAGCTCATCAGCTTAGCCACAGATGCTTATGGCAGCGGAGGACTGATAGATGTGGCTTGTACAGAAAATGCCTTTTCTGGGCTCATGCCAACAGAGAGTTTTCCTCCATATGGAGTATTCTGGGGTGGATGTTTACAACCAAAGTCAGCTACTTGCACTGCCACAGCTGTGAGAGTCCAGGATTATCTTTGGCATATCTTATTCTTCGGCAAGAAGCGTAATCTTTCTTTTTTAACCATTATTATCTTTCATAATAATAGCTGTTCTGTTATTTCTGTCTGTCCCCAAATACTTTCATAAGTGGTGGCAATTATTATATAACATAATTTGTAACACTTGTTTTCTAACTTGAGGTAATAAATTATTTGATTCTACAGCCATGAAAGTTAAGTAAGTTGCTGAACATTAAATCCTCACGGATGATAATGACCACCAGCAATTTGTTACTGCTAAACTACTTTATACTGGGTAACGCCTCCTGATTATCAGCATTCTCCATGAAAAAACAGTCAATAATTTAAATAACATTTGCTGTGTAGCTATGAAATGAATTTCGTAGGTTGATCAATAAAAAGCAGTGCCTATAGCTAGCCTTATATTAGTTCCCTAAGGCAATATTTCCATTTCAGAAAGGACAAGAGGTTGATCTACATTACAAATTTTCAAAATAGGCTGTTATTTCCTATGATCTTATTAACCTTTCTGTGCATCCAGTTCTACTAATTCAGCTTGGCTTGTGTTGTATAGTAGAAAAAAGACTGAGAGAAAACAAAGCTCTCTATAAATACATTGGGGCTTTACTTTACAGAAAAAAAAATTGCAGTGTAAACTAAAAGGCAAAGTTGGCATGAAAACAAATGAGTATACACAAGCCATGAATACATGTAGGTCACTGGTTAGGAAAGAATAGTTAACTCTCAAAGATGTGAAGTTTGGGGGTAGTTTTTCAGAAACAGGACTAACAGCAAGTTGTAGTACAGAGCTTGGTATTTGTTTGATGGTGGTTTTATGAAATGACTGCTTTCAGCTGCAGGTGACTGGACTCAGGGACCCATTTGGCCACTCTTTCTGTTTGGTATTTCATGCTAATAAACTGTGCTTGTCTTGCAGAGATCACTTATTTATACCGTTCAACTGATAATACCATAAAATATGGTCCAGAAATCTGTAAGTAAATATCTGCAAGCAGAAAATTGTCTCCAAACAAACGGCTTCTTTTAATTAATTTCCTTTGGCAATATTATCAAGTAATTTTTTAAAGATACTTAGAGAATTTTTGAAAAATTTTAGATATTTATTTTTAGATTACCTAAATGCATTGCATGTGCTGCAAAATCTAGTTGCCTTCTTTATACCCTTCAGAAACTTCCCAACTTTCAGTACTTCAAAGCTGTTAATAATTTTTGCTTTGGGCTGCGATAACTTTAAATTTTACTTCTGTGTTGCAGATGAACTCTGAACTAGCTGGGTATGACTCAGTGTATAGTGATATAAAAAAATCAAAAAGCACAAAGACTGTGGCCTTGATTTCCTCTGAGATTAATCTCCATTTGCCCCCTGCTTCTTTTCTGGTGGGAATTTTTAGGGTGTGAGTTTTTCAGAAGTGAAACCCAAGTCAAACATTGTGCTCCCCAGTGCAACTTTAGAGTCCAGGAGGCAAACCCAGGAGATCAGTACTGAGACTGGAACTTACCAAGGAGCCCCCCAGATTCGGCTGCCCAAGGTCAGCTGAAGTTCAGTGAGACATAAGTGCCCCAAATCCTTAAGCTCCTTTGAAAAACCCAGTCTAATGGTTTTATAATGACCGAGTGGAACTAGAGTCAGAAAAGATGACTATGACAAAAGCGTAGGAGATCATCAGAGGTTATTTTTAAATAAGCCAATTCAAGAGGAAGGAAAATTCCCATTGAAGGCAAGAGAGATTTTTCATGAATGAGAACTTCAGGATATGGACATTATTTTTTGGGTGTTGACAGTTTGCTATACTTTCTCAGTAAAAATTTCTTACAGAGGAAAATGCTGTTTCTGTTCCAAGAAACACATCTAAATCAGAAAAAAAGGAAATAAGAGGCAAAATCTTTAACATACAGGTATTATGATATATTTCAAGTTGTTAAGATGCTCTTAAATATATATGCTCCAGATTCATTGGGTTACTGTAGCAAAAGTTAAATTTTGTGCAGTAAGGATCTCCAGATAGATGTGGCTTGTAGAAAAAAATACAAAGGAAATGATTAACAGTAGGCCTTGAGAAAAATTTGGATAGAGAATAGGAAGAAACAGAAATGGGAGTATACTAGATGTGATACTGTGGTGGAGGCCTGTTTGAAACCTCACAGAGAAAACTGCAAAGGGAACTGATGAGGGAAGTGAAAGACAAAAACAAATGAGTTGTAGCAGGACATTCTTAACGATACCATGAAATCAGGTTACAGAAGGCCAAAGGAAAGAGAGTTGAAATGATTAAGGTGAGAGAGAACTAAAAGTGAATTGGACATCACTTTTAAACCTCTCTGATACAGAAGATTGTTTATCGAAATTTAGGGTTTTTTGTTATGTGCTATTTGTGACCTGCCTTTTATCCATTCAGACTATGCCAAGAGAGTACCACATTTCTCTTTTTGTTATTACTTTTCTTTATTCAGTTTTTGTTTAAGTTTTCATTCATCAACATACAGCTGTTTCATTTGGTTTGAAAATTCTGCAGGAAGCTGTTCTAAGTGAGAAAATGTTCACAGTGACTGGGAAAGGCTAATAGCCCCTGAGTTTTGAGTGTCAACAGCATGACTTTGTGTAAATTGATGTTCTGTACTATCTCCGGGAAAAATACTTTCTTTGTTTATTTACTTACAGATTTGGATACTTCCTTCATGTTCCTACCAATAATTTTTTTTTCTGTTTCTCACATATGAAATTGCCATCCACATGCCTTTACTCATACCTTTGTATTTTAATATCATTGATTAAGTGCATTTTGCATTTAAATATAGGTTCTAAAATCTTAATGTGATAAAACAGACAAAGATACGGCTGACTGAACAAGTGTGCTACTTCTTTTGCTGAGGCAGATATGACTCAGCAGTTTGAGGTTTTTCTTCTGAGACTGTCACATGTGTTGTAGTCACCAGGATTTTGGTTCAAAGACCACAGTGATTATCTGCTATTCATGGTCTGATTAGGAAACATTTCTTTGTTCTAGCAGGTTTGCTAGAGCAGGATTTCTGTACCAATCAAATATGAACTATTTCTTGGTACTACCCAGTGATAAAACTTCAAATTTTGCTGATCTCAGAGTGTAGCAAAATTATTGAATATAGTGTTTAAACAAGCAGCAGTGATTCATGGCTCAAAATTTACTGTAAAGAACACACTCAGAAAACAGAAAAAGTAAATGTAGCAACATTTCTGAATTGGAATATTAGTTTGACTGCAAGTTGACTAACAGTGTCTGGGTCTTTACAGGTATACCCTACTACAATTCCCAAACACTTCTATATCCTAAACACTGCAGGAGATATTATACAAAAGTTCAAGTTCATCCATGATATGTAAACATGCTACAAAATTACCTTTTGAGCTTTTTCTTTATTTGACAGCAACCTGCTTGAGTGAGTTTGCTCTGTTTACAAATGTGGATTATCCCAGTAAGGCTTGGGCTATTATCTTTCCTGCCCAAACACAGACATCCAACTTGTTCTCCTTAAACCTTCTTCTTATGATAGACTTCATTTTCAGCTCAGGTATATATAATATTTTTAAAGATGTTTCAAGTTCTTTAACATGTATACCATGGCACTCACTACTGGCTGAGCATATGCCTCCGCAGCACAGAGGAATACAACAGGGAGGAGGAACATCTCCTTGAAAAAAGTTTTCCAAATCTCATTTTACCGAAGCACATTTTTCAAAGTTACCGTAAGTAAAAGAATGTTGTAATGACAGTTTGGCATTGCTGTTAATGGCATAAAGCATTTCTTCTGTAAAAACACGGTAATATCCTGCTGCTCACACACACAGTCTCTTTGTCTCGTCAGCATTAAATTCAGAATACTAGAATTCATTTGCCGTTTACAGTATTATTTTAAAATGCAATATACCAACAGTGAGAACAACTCTTCAGCTTTGTAATAATGAGTTCAGAGTAACATTTGGAATCATTGAGACAGAGTGAGGCTGCACTGAGCAGCTTAGAAACAATAAAATGATTGACTGTGAAAGTGGGAGTACTTTCATTTTGTTGCTGTTATAGTTAATTTGTCAGCTTCTTATTACTGTTATATAGGCATTTTGCCTTTTTACATATAACGCAAAAGCAATTGTTTCAATATCAAAAGGCTGAACTGTTTTATAGGATTTGTGGTAAATTCCAAACACTTCACAATGAAAAGCTTTCTACATGTAATGTTCCAGCTGGAATTATTTTTCTCTTTCCCTTCTCTCTTCTTCTTTTTAGAGCTGCCTAAGAGATAGCACCCGTGGAGCCAGCAGAGCTAACATAATTTCGCTAGGCAATGACAGATTCGCTGGAATTATCTTCCTCTTCCCCTTCTCTCTTCTTCTTTTTAGAGCTGCCTAAGAGATAGCACCCGTGGAGCCAGCAGAGCTAACATAATTTCGCTAGGCAATGACAGATTCACTTAAGAGTGTTTGGCTGGGATCTTTTTTTGTTTCACAAACTGGTTTTCTTTTAAGATATTTGTACACAGGATTTCTTGAAGTGACTTAAACATTACAGTATTCCTGCAGCTAATAAAGTCCTTGAGGTAATATGAGCTGGTTTTGAAATCCTATTTTCAATGAAATCATCCGGGCTTGATATTCACATAGTTCTTACAGAAATTAAGTTCTGTAAGAACATAGCTCTACACAAACAAGAGCGTCTGAGACATCTGAGAAATGGGATTTCAGTTCCATACCACATAAGATATTATAGTCCCACAGAATGCATACAGTTCAATATATACCATATCTGACTGTAAATTCCATGATAAAATCCACTCTCTAATTGGCAGCAAAGCTTAATTGTTTTCAAAACATAAACTCGGTTTTTACAAATAACTATAATGCTTTTTTTTTTAAAAAAAAAGAATTTCTGAATAAAGATAGTGAGAAATCTTTGTTATAAAGAAATTAAAGGATTTTCCTAGAAAGGACTGATTTATATTTATAGGGATTTATATATTTATATGGATTTGCTTCAGAGTTATTTAAGAACTAACTATTAAAATTCAGGTAGTTCTTTGTGGATCTCTGTTTACAAATTATTCTTAAAAAAAAAACTTGTTGATAAATCTGGTTCAGCATAGTGAATTTTTTTGTTGTGGATCATTGTCCTCCTGAGATCTAAAATGTAACATTAGTTACATCATACCTATTTCCTCTAATGTAAACCAAACATCACTGAAGCATAGCAGACCTAACTTTGCAGATTGCAAGTTCCCTTTTTTGAATTAGCAGTGGATTTTGAGAGGCCTGTTTCTCATCTGTCAAATTTCATTATTTTAGAAAATGCAAAATACTGGCATGTTTTGTGTAGTGCCCTAATAGGCTTGTATAATTTCGCCTCCCCATCAAAGCCAACTAAAAATATACCAGTAAAGTATTTTCCCTTCCTGAATTAATTCAGAGTCCTCAGGGATCATCATTGTGTTCAAAGATTTACACAAGAAAATGTATTCTGCAACTGTACTTGTTTGAAGTGGATTTAGTTAGTCTAATAAACCATATTGTGATACCACATTTTTACTGAATGGAACACAATGCCAGAAGTAATTGTACGTGATTTTAAATGAAGCTCTAGGTAACGATGCACTCTCAACAGAATATTTGTTTCTAAAACACTAGCGTGTGGTTGTTGTGTTTGATTGCTTAAACATAATTTAATAACAAAATACTCTGCATTGCTCTGTGGAGGATCTGAATTCAGAACATTCAGCACATTCCTCCCATTGATATTTGCAGTACCGTTCTAAGCCAAAATACACACAAATCAGCTGGGTAAAATTTTCTTTGTGCGACATCACTAACTTGATAGCTTTGGCCAAAGTAAAACACCTTCAATCTGACATGAAATGTGCATTTGATATCTCAGATTATCGGTGGAAAGGTTTCTAAGTGAACCAAATCTGGGTAGCAGTCGCTAATTCACAAAATATAATAGCTACATCACCTCAGAATCAGACAGAACTTACTGTCTGCAAAAAAGCTGAAAATTCAGTGTCTTTTTTAATGAAGTGTTAGAATGTGTGTAGTCTGATACCTGGGCTTTCAGATTCATGCTTTGCTCAAAGCATAATGCATAATCATTCATAGAAACAGAGCAGCTGAGGAAATCTAAACAGAGCAGACACACAATGCCTGTTTTTCTCAGGCATTAGGAGACCATCGTTTTCCTGAGAAATGCGTTCTTCCCCCTCCCCCTTTTAAGGGCAAAGAAAATGTTGAATGAATGAAAAACCAACAACAATAAAAAAACCCACCATAAAATCCTGTAAGCCAAATGCCACATATATTTTGAAATTGTAATGGAGTCAAAGTTATTTGTGTACAATTAGCAAGCCACACAATCTAATTGCAGGTTTAAAAAAATCCTTGTGCAGAATTTTAACTTTCAGCAGCTCTTGCCAGTGAAATTCCACCCTTCCTGTTTTCAGAAAGATAGTCCTGATTTTGTTTTCTAACTAAAAGAACTGCTGATTCAGCAGGCATTTCCAGCTCCATCATTAATTTCAGGTCATTTACATTTTCAGTTTCTGTCTGAAACTGAAAAAAAGGCAAACAATATCAAGAAAGCTGAAAACTAACATAAAACTGTGTGTAAACAAACTCACTTTCATCCCACAGTGCTGAGCACTTTCCTGTTTGGACAGGAATTAAAAGTGTCAATTCTATTATATAAAATATCAGATTAAATAAGACAGCACTTACCTCCACTTAGTATAATGACAGCTATAAATATTGCCAGGTCACTGTCATCTAATTCCAGTGCATTGAACTTCACAGCAAACTCAAACTTGGGCTCCATAAAGTCACAAAAAGGTTTTCTCAGGCTTTTCAGAAACTCCCGTGTCATGAATCCTTGTCCATCAGATATAAGAACTCCATCTTTATTCATCAGAGAAGCCAGGAGAGTATATATGATCTCATGGACCCCATATTTCAGGAGAGTTACTTGATCATTCAGGTCAAGATTCACAAAACCTGGAATGTTCTTGGCAAATTCTGTAATCTCCTGCACTGCCTCCACAGAGCGAAACTGGCATCGCTGGAAAATGCGAATTGCTACCTCTTTGTTCTCCTCCTGCAGCGGTGATACATGCTTGCACTTGATCTGATCTTCTCCCATCATTAAAGAGTTCATGTCATAAATAACAAATGGCTAAAAATAAAAGGAAAAGACAATTTACTTTCAAATGTCCTTTCTATGAACATTTGACCTCTGAGAAACTGAAGTAGCATATAACTCATTAGAAAACACTTAGAAATCTATGAGGAATATATCAAGGGTATAAGATTTAACCCAAAAGGGTTAAATCTTCAAAAACCTATTAAAATAAATATCCTCATAATGTTAAAATGATTTACAGAAAGGACAAATAGTTCCTAAGGACTTCTCACATGTTCCGTGTATCTACATTCTAAAAATAGGACTTTGGCTGATACTTTTTTTTAAAATTAGGGGAGGGTGGTAAGGAACACTATTTTAAAATATCCATGATTTTTGCCATTTTTTTTTGTTTTGTTTCGTTTTTGTTTTACAGAAGTTCTGTAATACCAGAATTCAAAGTTTGGAATGCTTACTAATACAAGATTAAAATATTACTCCTTTTGCCTGAATTTTACAGGCTTCTATAAAACAGAATCTAGTAAGTGTACAGTGACATGTTTGCACTTCTGATGATATAACTTCTTTTTTGTAGAAAGACAGAGTATATTCACATTTTGATTACTTCACGTACTGTAATGTTCTTTCAACTTCTATCCTTCTACAAAGTGCTGCAAGTAATATCAACTTTATGGTATTGATTACCTGATAAATTTAACCTTTTTGATGTTAATTCCTTAAAAAATACCAAGTTAGGATATATTTAAACTCAAACAACTTGTCAATGGGAAAGAAAACCCAAATAACATGATACAAACTACAGCAGCACAATTCAGAACACGAGAATGAGTCTGACTGTCAAATAAACTCAACTGGAATAAATCAATTTTGAAAGCGTATTAGAAAATGTAGTGCCAGGAGAACTTTCGTTAGGATCTGGAAACAATCTGTTTCAGAATATGCAGAAGCAGCTCCTCGTTTTAAAAAAGTGGTTAAGTGAGGATTTCTTAAATTTATCTGAAGAATCTTTTCCTTAGAGAATAAATGACTAATAGTTCATTGCTGCACTGAACAAATATCTACTGACATTAATAGGTTTGTTAACATACTTGATTCATTAATTAACATACAAGGAAGTATACACCAACAATTGGACTAGAGAAATGCATTTTTTAATTTACGATCCTTTATGACTAAAGATTCTAATGCCTTATTCATATGGGTGATCATTCTCCTGGTTTTATATTTACTACAAGCTGCAGAACAGATTCAAAAATAACCCAAGCCTTCCTATACATAGTCAGTGGTCCTCTCCCACAGAATCTGCTTCTGGAAACTCCTAAAATTCAATTCCTATTTGATTAAACCAGTTTTGAAGTCTATTCAGTGCTAAATTATTATGGAATTTTTAAAACTGGAAATAGCTACTTTCTTTAGAGTCTGGTGGTGCCTTCTGAAGAGGATATTGCTGACAGATGCTTATTACTACCCACCAGCTAGAGGTTACTACTTCCATCTCCCGCAGTTCCACAGATGGAGATTGTGAAAGTGTTTGGTCATCTGTTTCAGGCTAAGTCGAACACAAGCTCTGACCCACTATCACTGGGAAGAGAGGGAGGGATGACAGCTGACAGTTTTGTCTTCAACTGATACAACTGCTTGGAAAGCCGAGGTCTCTCTGTGAACTGAAATAATAGTATCCTCACAAGAGGATTTAAGCTTTCAAAATGGTTTAGTTAAATCAATATTCTGCTGCTTACAAGACCAATAAAACTAGTGCTGTCACTTTCATGGTAACCACAGGCAAACATAACTCCAGACCATGAAATTCAGTTAAATGGAGTGTGAGGTATGACACTATTTTTCCACTTGCACTAGGATTTCAGTGTGAAACTGAAAAAATAAACACACCACACTGAGAAAAGCCAGGAGGATAGGTATTTTTCAACATGTAATGCTATTCTGGCAGCGGAAAAAGCATTTTATACATATCTGTACATATGTATATGCATGCATATGCAAAACACTGGAATAACAAGACTGTAGAGGAGACTTTTTAGTACTAGTAGGTCATTCCTTCCTTTTCTTTCTAGAAAATCTTAATTGGGAGCACCAAGTACAAGAAAAAGTCATCTATTCTGTGCATGTACATGTGCTTCAGAAAGACTACACTATGCCACCAGCCTACTGACATTACAAGATGAAAATCAAGAAAGAGTTCAAAATAGCTAAAGAATTTTTTAATATAAAGATTCAGATGAACTTCGTGAGTAGAATCTTATGTCAAATGAGCACTGTATATCCCAGAATAGGATGAGTTAGCCATTTTAGTTCTGACACACTCACTTAGCATATCCGATAATTTTCAGTTAATGCAGATGATATAAAAATTAAAAAATAAGATAAATTTAAACTATGCCCATAGTAAACAGTTTGATGTTCCAGAGCACAAAGTCACTTCAAATAACATAAAAGCTGTAACTATTAAGTACTGAGTGTCACTCTTTCAGTGTTATTTTTTAAAAAAGACTTGAAAATTTGCAGCAATGAAAAGCTGAATTCTATGTCTGTTGTTTTATTGCTATATTCTAACCTGGCAAAGTTTTAAAACTTTCAATAAAAAGGTAGAACTATACTGATAACATACTATATATTTACTGCACAAGTATTGCATTAGTGTAACTTTCAGACGTGACCAAGTGATGTAAGCCCAGACATTTGTTAAGTAGCCAGCACAGCAGAGCAGCAAACCACACGCCAATTGATTTCTATGATAACTCCATAGAACCTTGCAGAACAGAAGCAGGATTTGTGGATGCACTTAGAACCTCAGAAACAAACTGCCCAGATTTCTAAACACACGTCTGGAAAAATGGAAGATGAGATCACTGTAGGCAACCCTGCCCAAACTTGTGTTACGTTCCACAGTGCACACAGTGGGCAGCTGCAGAAAAAAGGAGCAGGCCTCCTGGTGACATTTTTAGGATGAAGAGGAGTAAACAAGATACATAATTACACACCCCACTTCTATTCTGTTTCCCAATGCAGGTACATAGTTATTAAGAACACACTGACAAAAAACTAAATTGCTGTATTAATTCTTTCCCAGTAACCTATGTTTCTGATATAGAGAAGGAACTGTGGAAAGACTTGGAAAAAGCAATGACCCTCAAGTGGACCTTAGCGTATCAGCTTTCTGTAGAATAAATAAACTATCCTAGTTCAAACTTTATATACTCCATGATGAAAAGTTATTCAAATTCTAAGTGTCCATCACATCAGAAGTTTTTATGTGACGGGTACAACCAAATTAGGGACAATATTTAAATTATGATTTTAACTGCCTTTAAACAAAGCAAGCTCCAAAGCCTTCCAAATCCTTTCCTGTCTTTGAAATTATTACAGAAAATAAAATACAGTCTCTGTTGTAATCCTGACAATAAAATTTCTGCCAATCACTCTAGAAAATATATCAAATTAAGAGTTATTACTTTTGGAAAAATATTTTGCTCTTTAGGTATTAAAATAGTGACAAACTTTTAAACCTACCATAATTATCAGATCTTATTTATCCTCCTTTTCACTGATACAGAAGACTATTACGTATTGCCAGTGAAGTTTCCAAAGCAACCCACAAATACATATATCTCTATTCCTTACTTTTAAAAGATTGTCTTGTACATTCTCCTAAAATTCAAATTGCACCAACACAGGATACTGATCTGATCCTAGATAACCCAGTTAAATGCAGGAAGTCATCAGAGCATCATAAGAATGAGCATCATAGTTAAGGCTAGTGATGGTTTTGGTACTGGGAATCATTTAACGCTTATGAAAAAGAATATTCCTTTGGGTACAGCTAGTACTGATAATATGCTATGATAATGTGCTATGATATGGTTGCTTGAATAGTATAGCAACCAATTCCTGACAGCTAGATAGCCACCTTAAAACAGATAGTGTGGAAGATAACCTTTGGTGAAGGAGAAGGAAAACGGGAAGAGTGGATCAGAGAATACAAAAAGGTTAAGATGACCTTCAAATTCTTGTACTGGTTTCAAGTATTTTATTAGGTGAACTTGGAGTTTTTTCAAATAATGTTTACTTATCCTATCTAAAAACATTTCCTGTGTTTCAGACACAGCTTGAAATATGTAACTGCCAACAGCAAAGTTTTGTTTTTTTTTTTTTTAAAAGATGTGTTGTCAATGTGGTAAATCATTTACTCAAAAGAAAGAAAAAAAAACAAAACAAAACAGAGGGAACTAACTGATTTGTCTGTCGTCTTTCCTGTCAAGATCGCCCTCGCCTTGGCTTTGGTCAGAGGGAAGGACTTTATGTATGAGTCATACAAATGCTTGGCAAGTGCTCGTAGATCAGCAGATTCAGGGTTTAACTGGTCGATGTCGCTGGAAATCTCTGCCAAGAGCTTCTCCTTCTCCGCTTGTGGCATTCGCCCAAACCTGATGGCTGAAGAAGATGACAAGCAATTACTATAGCTATAGTTGCACCTAAAAAAGCGTATTTGAATAGCTTTTTATGTCACCTTTGTTATGAGCTCTTCAAATTTTTATTAAAACAGTACTTAGGCAAGTAAGAGAAAAATTATTTTCTCCAGTAATAGAGGCAAAACAGCTGAATTGCTTTAAAGAAATGTAAACAAACAAATCTCAAAGAGGAAATAATTTATGTGCCTGAACAGTGAGATTACAGTATCTTGTTTGGAAATGCAAAACTATTGTCAGCTCACCTGACAGAGTTGTTGAAAACCACTGATTCTACCTCCAATCTAAATAAAATGTAAAGAATCTTTAAGATATTAAAATTCTGTTGGCTTAGGGTAGGAAACACCATTCAGCCTAGTATTGTTTTGGGCAAATCACCATATGGATCTCAGATTCTTCATTTGTTTAGAAACAAAATACTCACATGCCTTGCAGGAATAAATTCCTAAATAGTTCAACAGAACTTAATGTAGCAATTGCTGTAAAATGTTACCAAAAGAATTAAGGAATGAGAAAGAAGGTTGTGCAGGGAATGAAAAAGCCAGAAAAGGCTGAGTTCTTCATGGTAACCCTATGTGCATGCAGCATTGAAAGAACAGGAAATGGTTCTACCTAGTCATATGATCTCACAATTGCTCAATACCAACGTAAGGCAGGCTGTAAACCTCCTAGTTTTACACCTATGTACTTACTATCCAAGACACTATTTATTCCTATGGGGACGGACTTGGAAAATATTTCAAATGAGCAATCAAGATCAAGACTGATTTATCATATGGTATTTCAATAAACAGAATTCATTTCACTTGTTTGGTTTTGTTTTCGTAAAAAGAGCATCCAAACAAAAAACGGAAGGAAGAAATAAAGGTTTGTATTTTGGCCTCAGGAGGAAATAGAAATATTATAAATATTGTTCTAGCAGTTAGTGTCTTCCCTGGATAAAGTAAAAGTGCTATTAAGATCATACATGTGAATGATGATACTAGGGATGTTTATTTTGGAAATGACCAGCCACTTTCCCTTTATGAGGATGCTTGCAGCGTGCTGATGTACAAAAATGATGCTTTTTTCCAAGAATAAATAATTGTGTCAAAAACATACAAAATACATTGTCATATATATATTCATTGATCAGTTCTCTTATTTCATGGCTGTAGAAACAAGGTTGTTTATTTTTACAACTGTACGATATTGCTCTTTCAGCAAACTTAGTCTCCAAATGATGCATGCTCTGTATTTCATAGTTGCTTGGGCATTCTTAGAGTTAACAAGTCAGAATAAAAATCATCATGAAAGGACACCTAGATCAATAGGTACAAATTAATATATTCTAATTTTTTTCCCTGAGAATGTCTGTTGCTTATAATTTTTCATACAGGCAATTTTGAATAATTGCCAACAGCTATTTGTTTTCGATCATATATACCATGCCATATATATTTTTTTCTCTCTCATGGGGAACACCAAGTATTCTTAATCAGCTACTAACAATAGTTTTCAGGGAGACATCACTGCCAGCCCTCCTTATTTCTGAGAGCAAAACATTTAAAGAAAAATTATTGACTTCATATTAGTTTATATGACATACGACAATGGCTTAAAGAGACTGCCACCATTCTGTAAAGCAGTAATGTGAATGGATGAACATATAGTAATGTTAGTAATGTATAAAAAATTGATATCAAACAAAAGGAGAGTTCATATTTGTACTTAGCGTAACCTAAATAAAAAGATGAAAAAAAATCAGCATAACTACAAAGGAATTAATTCAGCTACATATGCTTCCATGAACACTGTGAATAAAGACCATTTTGGTATATTCATTTTGCAGTTAAAATGGATTGTCTCACTAGTAGAAATTCTTATTTGGAGTTAACACAAATCCTTTGAGTTTTTTTGAAAAAAACATGCATAGATCTTGATAATATTAAGCCCATGATACTAATATCTGCATTTTAGGCATTCTTGAAGATGTAAACTGAATGAAGTATGAAGCATTTAATGAAGTAAATACAGTGAAAACTCACTGAGAACATTTTATAGCATTTACAGATTTTTTTTGGTGATACTTAAGGGCTGATTCAATAAAAAGAATCAAACTGTCATCAATATAATAAAGCTAAAATATATTATTACATACATATTGTAATAAGTTGTTACAGGGACAGCAAGTATAACTAAAATGTGGGGTCAAGAAGGTGTTAAAATAATAATATAGCTAATAAAAGTATTAAAGGTTAATTAAAAGTCCATGTTGAACAGTGTGGCTAGACATTTGTTAAATTCATATTTGCATTAAAAGCTATTATATTCTTCATGAAACCTGGTTTCAGATTTAATGTTAATTTAATATTAAATTTGTGGCATTCATAAGATTATGTTTTATGGTCAATTTGTCCACTTTTCAAATGTGCATTTTGCAATAGCATCATCAATGGAAAAAATCTTGTGATACTTTGATGCTTCTGATTGTGTTAATACTGTTACTATTTCATTTACTGCTGGTAGTTCTAGAGTAGATGCCTTCTTTAACTTATCATTTACTTTTATTTTGCTTGTGATGGTGATACTTATTTTCCTGAAAAGTGCTTTGAGATCTCTGCATGAAAACTGCTATAAAAATGAAATATTATTTATTGCTTTGCTATTTGTTTCAGTACTCTTCCTTGTTGGAATCATATCTAATGTTTTGTTTCCATTTGTTTGAGAATTTGTATAATTTTTATATATACAGTCAAAACCCCCTGTGAACATTAATGTTAAATCAGAGCATTGCCTTCACTGTGCTAAGTTTTATGAATGCAAGCACCCTTATGTATAATCTGTTTTGGGAGTTAAAGCTCAAAGACACAGAGGAAGACTATATCAAATGATACATTATTAAAGCTGCCTAGAAATTTGCTATATATTTTTAAGGAATATTTGGCATAGGTTTGGCATGGGGCCTCATGATGCTAACTTTTCTATGAAGATCAGATTCCTGGTTTCTTTTTGAAAAAAGATTATTTCAAATTCCTTTTCTGTAAATGAAAAAGGAAAAAAAAAAAAAACCACAAACAACAAAAGAAATAAGTACCACTGCCTAAGGTAACACTGAATTATATAGCTAGTCCGTTAAAGTGATGAGGAGATTACTTTGAAAGAAAATTAGCACGTGTTATATGGTAAACAAGGTTATAAGCATTAACTTCTATTCTTGAATGTTTGCATGCTGCATTCAGAATTGAGTTAGATATAACAAACAAAGCTTACTCATAGCACAGACAGCTATTACATCAATGTCAAATCAGTCCAAACTACCCATTGTTATCAAAGAATGCACTAGTTGATTAGCTAATCAAAGCAGTATAGCAGGGGGTTATCTTTTACGGGCCTGAAACACCCATCCTTGGCTTACCAACCCACTTGAGCAGGACTGCCAGCTACCAGATCACATGTCTATCAGTTCAGCAAAATAGCCACTAATATTAGCAGAGTTTGCATTTAGCAGATAGGACCAAGTCTTCTAAATACAGGAATTGACTTCACTAAGAATGGAAATGAGATCTTACTGTTTTCTGTACTATATAAATCCTTAGGGTGTATCTTGTTGCCTGCCATAATAATATCAGACTTTTACATAAAATAATTCAGCAATAATGAAATCCCTCAGGAATCTCATAATATTTTCTCGTGTTTAGTGTGTGAAAACTGTGCTTGGGGTAAAGTTTGTTATGCATCTTAATTGGCAATCTATCATTTCCACATGTGTTTGTTTCTTCCTAAATGTGTGTTTGTAAGATAGATTAACAGCGGTGGATCTTTCATGATCTGCTTTTAAACACTGTCCCTATTTCATGAAAATATGTGTCTTGGAAGATTTCTGATGTAATTAATTCATGAATTATGAGAATAAAGTTTCCTGAACAAAAGATGATCAGGACCCAAAAGTATATTTTAAATATAGCAATTCGTTAAACATAAAGTCAGAGAGTTGTGAATCAAACATTTCTATCTTATAATTTGATAAGCAAAAGGATAGTTCTAAAATATTTTTTCTTGTTTATAATATATTTTATAAATATTATATTAAGTCCAGCAGATTCTGTTCAATGTTTATTAGCATTGCAGGCAAAATTTGGGCCAAAATTCAATTTTGTGGTACTAGCCTAGTAGTTTTCTTTTTGAGAAGTCATTGTCATTGTCATTTTCAGGGGACTGAGACAAAAGTAAGGGAGAGGTCAGGCACCAGGAGGTTTACAGAAGGAATTTGGAAAGTGGGATTTTGGATGAGAGGAGAAGTAGGAGGGATTGATGATACTTACAGAGGCTAGGGTGAAAAAAGGAGAGTTCACAGGGTGGATAAGAGTTCACAGCATTTCTGATGGTTGAGGAAAATTTCAAGGATGGGTGGCAAGATCTTCTCCCTTTTCTGCTTCTTTCTCCACCTCCCTCCTGTGACCCTGACCTCATCTTCTATTTCCCTGGACCATTATCCTCCTTGCTACTCTATCTTCTCTTTCCTCCACCTACCCTCACAGCAGGCCCGGCTTCCTTATCTCCCGGGAGCCTGGGAAGTGGATCAAGCCAGGATCTGTAGGGTCGGGAAGGGCAGGGACAAGCCAGCGAGCTGGTATAAGAGATCTGGAAATGCGGCTCGCTGCTCATCCTGCAAGGGTGGAAGGGGTTCAGATGGCAATTTCTTTCACAGTAATAGAAGATTGTGCAAGTTTGGGCACGTGCCTGCAGCTGGAATATATGATCCCTCTCTCTCTTTCCTTTGTCAGTTATTTCTTTTACTTGCATTTACAATATTCACCAAATGTCAGTGATATAAAGCCAATAGTGAATGCAGTAAGACACTACATGCTACATTATATTCTTTGCCTTTCTGTGGAAAAACTAGAATATTTATCCTTACGCCACATTTTATAGCTTGGAGAAGTCACTACGATTGCTTATAGACTATTCTGTATAGCACTCATCTGATTGTCTAGATTATTTTTGAGCATAAATGAGACCCCAGATAGATAGACTATAAACACAGTTTCTTACACTAGAAAACACAAGATCGAGCCAGGGAGGATACCTGTCTGAGTTCACTGGAGGCATGTGCCCAGATTGAACAATTCACTGCTCCCAGAACTGATAATAAAGACATACTGCCATGTGTGCTCTTTTTCCCATTACAGTAGTTGGTTCTATATAAATAGTACTTTTAGTAGAAGAGAAAAAATTAATGAAATTTCTAAAATAAAAGAACCAAGCTTCAGAATAGTGGTACTTCAGAATACAATCTGAGCAATTAAGGGTTAAACACAGAGCAGCACTGTGGCTAGAGAAGGAAAGGGAAACAATATTCAAAGCATGAGAACACTACTGTCTTTTTTAACCTTCAGCCAAGTGGTATGTAGCATTTATATGTGAAAAAATGTGGCTGTAGCTGCTAAGTGTCTCCTTGCATTCCCCATTTTTGTAAGTACCCTATTCATTTTGCAATAATATATCTGTGCAAAGACAGTCATAGATCGGAACCCTCAGACAAAAATAATCCACATTCTGATGCCAAGCATTTAAAATTCAGATAATTTCACTACCCAAATGAATGACCTTTAATCTGTAGATGTAACATAAAAATGTGTCTCAGTGTCATTGATAACTTTCAGTGTTGCATTTCTGCATGCTTCTTTATATAACCCTGTGTCTTCAAAGGCAAAATTTAGTTCTTTTTTATGAATTTGTTTGTTTATGAATGATGGAGGAATGAGGGTGTTGTTTCATGAAATGTAACATAACCAGAGTGGGCAAAAAAGGCAAGTGCAGAAGCCAATACTTGAATATAAACACTACTAACTCCCTGTTAGGTGAACTCGTGGTTAGAGCAAATGTAAGTGTTCCTTCAAGCCCTGGGAAAAATTGCTTTGCCCTTTCCCCCTTTTCTCTATGCCTCCCCCTGACTCTCATAACCATGGCTTTTGCTGGTGCCACAGCTTCTGCCTTGGCAGTGGCTGAACAGGAAAAAATGGCAGGTGAAATGTTAATTTTAAAAATATTTCTTGGGCCCTTTATGTTACTAAGCCAAAGAGAACAGTCTTGGCCTTCTTCTTCTTGGTAGAACTGCACATGGTTCCCATTGACATAATTGGAAGCCGTGTTGCTAGGTTATGAGAGAATTTGGCATGCACCTTGAAAATAATAATAAAACCTCCTGAATTACTATTAAAATACCCACAGTAGCATTTCAAAATTAGATTTATTTTTAAGCATTACTATTGCATCCCAGGAACTTGAAAACCATATTTTCTATTAGCAAAACATTTCCCATACCAATTTACATTCACTGCATGTATTAACCCCGCAAACCACAGTTAAGCTTTCCTCTTGGGGACAGTACACTCATTTTTTATATTGAAAATAATGAAAGTTCTAAAAAAACCACAGAGAAATTATTTTCCCAGTCATGTTTGCAATTCTTTACCCTTAGAATTACATAAGTCTCTATGTTATGACATTTAATTCCTGTTTTCACTCAACTTTGCCAAAGCAAGGCAGCAAAGAATCTTCATTATGTCTTTCTGTCCAAACATTCGTAAGTAGTTCCACATGAATTGATATGTTAATTTTAAAGTTCAGAGGGGCTTTCTTCTAAATTCTATGCAAGAGAGCAGTATCATGATATGCTTAATGGTATCTGCTTACCTACTATAAAGAACCAACACAATTGCAAACACCTTTGCAATCTAAGACTCCAACATACTCAAAATGGAAATGCTGCTTGCAGTTCACAGATGGGAGGGGATATTCACCTCTGGATGGTGGAGAGGTCAGACAGTGCACATTACACAGGAATCACAGCTATACACACTGTATGATGAGAGGCCAACAGCTGAATGGGCATGCTAAGAAACACTACACTCCTACTTACCACACATTGGAATCTATGCCCAGATGTGGGTATCCTAGGAAGGAGGAGGACAGGTTTTTTAAAACAGTACAGGGTCTGGCCCATTCATTTAAAGTATGTTGTGTTCTAGTATGAGGAAGTGTAAACTTAGTGATGCTAACAGTCCTCGATAAGTGTCCTATGCATCAAATTCAAATTGTTATTATTCACAAAGTTTCAGTAAATTCTCCAGTCCATTTTTCATAATTAAATTAAGTTTTCTGCTTACAGGAAAGGGATATTGAGCTACAGTATGCAAAAGAGTCTTGTCAGAAAATACGACAATGAACTGAAAAATAACAATTACACTAGAAATATGTTCAGGAAGAGCAACCAACAGTGCAATGAGCAAGAATGATGGAGAGTAAAACCAACTCATCTGTTATATTATGTATTATATTGATAAGTGCAGATCTCTACCTATCTGATTTTTGTATTGAAAGTAATCTTCAATCATATGCATAGTCTCCTAAACTCAGAGGTAATCTCTCTGATAGGTATTTCTAAACTGCCTAGTGTAAAGAAAGAGAAGACTCTAGATGTTAAAGCAGCACATTCAGTAATCATATTAATGTTTCAAGTTATTTTTCAGATGAAACATTATTGTTTTAAAATATGCTGTGTGCACTTACCATTATGTGACATTCCAACGGCAAGGCATTTCTGAAATCTGCAGTATTGACATTTATTTCTGCTTTTTTTATGGATGCGGCAATTAAGATCACACCTGTCATAAATTAGCTTTAATCTGATTGTTCTTCGAAAAAAACCCTGGAGTAAACATAAAAGCATGTAAAAGGATGCAAGAAACTGCCAGTGTCATCATCTCACTTCTCTATACGTACAAAGCATCTTTCTGTATACACACTGAACCTAACTTTGTTTTAGACAGATTTCCAAAGGAAGCAAGGCTCATGTGATCATAATGTCTGGTTATCAGTGTGCTCCTGTTTGGATCTTATTAGCCACTTTCAAGCTAGTTTGATAGAGGGGTAAAAATCTCAAATAGCTGGGGAAGCTTATGGGAATCAATGGGGTTTAAAGGACACTGGGGACGTAAGTTGAGAGCTCTACAGACATGCTGAGCATGAAGAACACTATGCCAAAGGAAGTGAAGCTCCATTTGTTCCACTGCTCATGGGACAATTTGTTACAAAATGAACATGAAATTTTCAAAATTTAAAGTTCACTACCAATATAGAAAACTTTTTATAAATCACAACAAACCAAAAATTCTGCCAACAGCAGCTTGATCTCAAGTAAATAAAAAAGGTTATGTGTTACCTATTTGTTTACATTTTCTTTCCCAACTAAGTATTTTTTAATTGTTTCAAATATTTATTTTCCTTTCTGAGCCTGAGTACTTAAAGAAAATTAATATTCTTTCATCTATTCTATTCCTTTGTTTTTGCAAAGTGCTGAACTAATTTTGCAATATTTATTTCTGAGTTCTGTTTTCTAGGTTGTTATATTTTCTAGTTTATCTCCATTGTTTGGATATTACAAGTCTGCAAAGAATATTGGCACATGAAAAATCCAAAATCTTGGTGCCAAACTCACGGAAATTATTGCACAGAAGTCTTATGAAGTCTTATAAAGAGAGAAATCATTATGGAAATTCACAAGTCTGTCTTTTTACAGTATAAAGATACTTTCTCAGATCGCTCACAATCAATTAATAAAGTTTATCCAAATTTATCATCATTTTTCCTTGTAACAATTAATTTTTCCTCACAGCAAATAATAAAAATAAAAGCATAATGCCAACTGTTACTTATATAATTCACTGTAATTTAAATAATCAACAGCATACTTATTGTTTTATGTGTGTTCCTAATTCAGTGCTACAAATTTTATTTCAGCTCTGCATTGGGTCTTTCCTATTAGTTATTTTCCTCAAGATGTTGAAAATAGAGAAAATGGGAATTTCACATTAAAGTCTCTAATATTTTTCTTTTAACTTGGTGAATTATTATTACTTTCTTTCTCTGGCATTTCTTTTCTCACTCTTGAGGATGGTCAATTTTTACACCATTCATTTGTCCTTTGTGTTATAAACACTAAATAACACTGACATAAAAAAAAAGCCAGTGGAGTTTTAAAGCAGAAAGCCCTATTTAATACCATTAGACTTTTCTGTAGTCCCCTAGAAATGTGTAAATTGGGTAAAGAAACTAATCAATAGAATAACAGAGCCTGAATTTTAAATTGCTCAGAGTATTGAGCATTGGAGTTGGGCACGAGTCTGCTTTTGCTGCATTCTGTGAATTCAGATTCTGCAAGTGACCTCGAAGACAGCAGGCATGAAATATAATTGCATAATTGACAAAAGCAGAAGAAATGCACAAAAAGTTCAAATAGATCACTAACATAAATGATCGGTAACATAAACAATAAAAAAGCAAATTACATTTTAAAAAAACTCCTACTTATTAAGTCATAAAGTATATGTGGAACAATTTACTTAAACACCTAAAACTTTTTTTAAAAAGCACAGATTTCTGATTCTACCAAGTGATTATTCAGACACAAATAGTATCAAATCTTACTTGAGAAAAAATACATTTGTGATAACTTACCTTACAACCCTCACATGCATGCACACCATAATGAAATCCAGAGGCCTTGTCCCCACACACACGGCATTCAATAGCCATAAGGGAGTTGGAAGACTCCTCATGAGGTTTATTGTACAACTGAACTTTTTCTGAAAAATAGGGTGGGGAAGGAGGCTCCATTTTGATTGCACCTGTGTATAGAGAAGATTTAAATGATAAACTCAAAGTATAATTAAATATCTAGAAGAAGACGCAGGGAATAATCACAAGCAATCACAGTAAACATAGACAGATTCATAGGTCTGTTTCATAATACAAAACGAGTAGTAAACAAAGGATGTAAAGGGATATAATCTGTAAGCAGCTATTTCACTGGCAGGATATAGGCTGGAAAACCTTGAAGAGGCAGATTCTGATGTAGAAAGTGTATTACAGATTCAGTTTCAGCTCTGTAGTGTGGAATGATTTGAAGATAGGGATATTAAAAGTTTACCTATGGAGACCTCATACTTGAAAGGCCTTACTTTTCTCAGTATCTAATCTGGCTGTATTACTTTAAGGTGTTCAGAACTACTGCAGGAAGATTGAGTGGAGTTTCTAATCTATTCTAAAAAATATTTAAGTATCTAATAGACCTATACATTGAATAATATATTATTGGATAATATATATATTGGATAATATAATATTGGATATTTAAAGGAATTTAGCTCTCTCTTGGGGAACACTGTTCAACTTCGGAGGCAGTTTAGAGATTCATTTTCTCTTCTGAAAGTTTCTAATTAACAGACCAATTTGTAATATTGCACAAGCTCAAACAACCAAATGTGATATCTCCAACTGCTGCTCTGGAAGGGTGAAGGTCTGCTACATGTACTCTATCTTTTCTATCTGCCCTGCAAGAATATCTTTTGGACATCTCTGATGACACAGGATACCAGCATTTAGGCATCTGAATACTGCTAAATCCTTTTGCTGATAGTACAGTTTCCAGAGAATGAAGCAAATGTGGACATGAAGGAAATACTAAAAAAATTAAAAGCATACTTTGGCAATCCTGGAGCTTGATATCATATTTATAATCAATGCTTGTCTGGTCAGTTCTTGCAAGAGGAATATCTTCATAGTGCGGTGAAGAAATGCTTGAAAAATCAACAGTGGTAAATGGCTTTATGTCAAAAGAATGTGTATGATCATCCATTGCAGACAGATCCACTGGACTAATTCCAAAATTAATGGGCCAAAACGGCATTTCTGTGTCAACCATTGTAATCCCTGAAAACAAAAAAAGAAACAGACATTTTAAAAGAAGCTAGTTATCTCTGTAATGAGTTTGGGCCTAAGCTGAGGTCCAATTGTCTCATGTCCAAAGGGCTGAGATGCAAACTCACAATCTGGTGTAGATTTTAGGGGAATGTTTAGGCCCCGTCTATCACTTGGCTTGAGTTTGTCACCATATAATGCATTAGGCTGTATAGTAACATTGCATGGATAACACTGGGCAGTTCACCCAGCTTTGAGGTTCTTAGGAAGGCTCTGATGTCTCATGTCATAAAAGCAAATGAGATTTGTGGACATTCAGGGCTCAGGCTAAGCTTAGAACAGAATGGCTGTCTTAAGTATGCTACTAGACTGAACTGGTCTGGTCCGTACTTCAAAAGGCAGCAGAGACAACTAGTGGGCTCACAGAACAATGGGTCAGTTAGATGAATAATTGACAAAAATATATATATGAAAAATAACCATCTAAACAATTACGAATGGCCAAATTAAATACAATTGCATTTTAATAGTATGTTTTATAGAATGCTTATGTGCTTTAGTAAGCATGCAAGTCATTAAAGAAAAAAAAATGATGTAAAATTAAAGCAGCATAACTGGAAAAAAAAATTCACTTTTTTTTTTTTTTAAAAAGACAGATAACACTGACTTCAATTGCATCTCTCAATAGCATGCATATGAATACAATTAGCAGTCTTCCACAATTAATTTTTCAGTTTTGCAAATTCTAATCATCATTCTTCCCAAGTTGATTTAGACATATTTCAACTACGAAAAAGTTTGTAAGTAACAGCAAGTGTAAAACACTTACTGTTTTATAACTAGGGTCTGTGTTTAATTTTCTGTGATTTATAAAAAAATATTCTAATCTAAAAATAGAATAGATGTTATGGAACTAAAATAACTGGGTCACTTTGGCTGTTTAATTTGGACTTTAGACCCAATCAAGTAAGTAGCCTCTAACCTCTAGATAAAAGAAACTTTGATTTGATTTGATTTGATCTGATTTACTTTGCATCAAAACTACTGTGTCACACTGCCAAAACTGTTGCTGCAAAATGAATGTAATGGAACAGACCTGCTCTATAATTTTGAGATCATCCTTTGTTTTGACAGGCTTACAGGTAAGTAAAAGAGTGATTGTCCTTCCCATCAACTATACTGAAGTGCTAAGGTAGTAATGGCTAGAAATGGCTACAGTTCTCTTAATCTTTCCTCAGGAAAGTCACCATCATTCTTCGGCCTTTTAGGACTCACAGCACAACCCTTTAGTTCTTCTACCTTGAACATCGACAACAAAGGTTGTAAGATATCTTTCTTATTTTTAAATTTTAGATAAGAAATTCTCACTGCAGTTGGAACAAAAGAGATGCTACTGTATCCCATGCTGCACAACACACATGTTGCCCCTAGTAGAACAAAAGAGGAACCTGCCACTCCTATTACTACATGACTGATAAAGTAGAGTCCTGTAAAGCAAATAATAGTGTTTAAGGGTGAACTGTTGGCAAGGTTAGCCTAACAGTCAGCCAGCCATCTACCTTCCCAAAGGCTTCAGCCACTGGATGGGATATAGAGATAGATATATATAGACAGATAGATATAGATATATGTTATCCTTAATGAAAGCAAGATCGCCTACTAGTAAACAACAGAATTTCTAACTGCCACAAGAGAAAATTATCCATTGAAAGTACATTATAGGTTGTCAGAGTATGTTGGTGTTATACAGTATCTTCCAAATAGTCCAAATTTTTCTGTAGGCATGAAGTGCAAATCCCTGGCCATCAACACTGGGAACTGTCTTCCTTAAACAGATTTCCAAATAAAGCAATAAAATAGAATAGACTCCTTCTTAAGGGTCCATTTTTGTAATTAAGCAGACACATCTTTAAAAAAATGAAATAAAATCAACAGACATCTACAATTTAAATACTGGCTTATATTCCTTTAAGCAAGTGACACTGAGAGTTATGTCCACTTTGTATCTGGATGGCTGCCTCAAGGGTGAAGAAGAAGGATGCCTAAAGGCATGGCCCCGGTTATCGCCCAAGTTCATCCTGTGGAATCCGTAGGACTCGATATGCGCAGGTGCACCCATGAGGTTACTGTGTGGCCAAGAAACAACTGCAGGCAACCACGTCATCAGAAGGCAGGAGGACTCATACTGAGAGCTGCCCTTGCACAGACACCTTCCCTGCACTAGAGAAACAGCTGAAGAGGCTTGAGTACAGGCTTAAAGGCAAGTGCAAGCTTAAGTCACTCACTAAATAGAGAGATACTTAATCACTTGCCACTGATCTCAGTTTTTGTATTACACGCAAAGCAGATGTTAAACAGTTTTCCTGCATCATCTGTAAAACCACTATAAAAGTATTCTCACAGTCTTGAGGGGTTATCACTTTGTATTTTCAATTTAAAAGGCTTCAGTTGCAAATGACTGTGAGCTGAACAGCAAGTTAAAGCTAGTCTGTATTTCACTTTATAACATCGTGAATGACTGCGATGTTTTGGAGAATTTGATTATGTATAATGTGCTTAATTCTATGAAACTCCTGAGTCATTATAACACAGTGTGTGCATGAAATTCACTATGTACAGACATACTACAGCTTAGAAAGACTCAGATAAGCATGTAAGTCCAGAGGCCTGGCTTGCTAGGCACAAACTCCAAAGCTAAGAGGCTATAGTATTCCTTAGCAGGAATTTTCTGTTTTCACAGTCAGAACAGCTAACTTGTTTCAGCAAAGTCTACCAATAATGCCAGAGCAGTTTCATGGTAAAAGTATTTCTAGCCTATAACTGTGATGTTTCAGATTTTTATTTTTAGAAGAAGCAAAATAAAAACAAATAAATAAAAAGTAATCTGTCACTTTAACAATCACTTAATATGAGGGATTGTGTTTCATGCATGCTGGTTTTTCCTTACTAATTGTTTTTTTTCCTGTGCATCTGTTCATATCACACACACGTTCTGTATGCTGGGAATAGAGGAAATAAAAGTGCCAAGATTACACTGAAGAGAAAAACAGGGAATTGTGGGTGCACCTATCAGCTACTACAGGTCACAAAGTAATTCCATTTTATGCTACTCATATTTCTGCTCTAAGGTAATAAAATCTGGAATCAGCAGCTATTTACAATTCTGAGCAAAAGCCTATAAACTCCACCTCTTCCAGAGGTTAACATCCCATGACTAGTAATATCAGTTCTTCTGATCTTCAGGCAACTAAAAAGGCTTTGCTAAATCATTCCACTACAAAAAATGTCTACTTTTAGTTTTGAAAAATTGTTATGTTGTCTATATTATAATTTCATCTAAGATGTCTTCAAAAGTACATAGCAATAAGTGTATACCTAGCACACATAAGTATGTATTTCTGAAGTCTTCTGTTAAAGTATAAGGTTCTGACATGATAAAATGCCTTAAGTAAATAGGATTTACTCAACACAAAAAAAGGTTTGCATGTACATTTTTAACTGCTTTTTTTTCCATTGAAAACAGTTAACTTTGGCTATATAGTAAATCTAAACCGACAAAGCCTTAGCTCTGTACAATTTACATTAATTTAATTTCCACTCCCAGTCTAGCATGAACCTAGGAGGCCTCATGAACACAGAACTTTTAATCTAACTACAGCTGAGAAACATTTTGCCTCTCAGGCCTCACAGTTAAGGAAAGTACCACTCTTCTGAGGGATGTAACATCCTCCAACAACAGCACCACAAGACAGGACAAGATGGATGTTTGTATGCGTGTGTCTATGTGGGGAGAAATGGAGAATGTGTGGCTTCTACCTAATCTTGGCTTTCCTCATTGCTGTATAAAATAAAGCAAATTCTGTGCTTTCCCAGCACAGGGACTATATTTCTACTACTTACTATGACGTCTGTTCAAAAAGGCGGTAAGGGATTATTTTCTTACTATATTTCATGACAACAAAAGGACTAAAATATTTGGCTTTCTCTCAGTATGCACATATTTCTGATTTGTTTGGTTAAAAAAAAAAAAAAAGCAGCAATGTGACCTGGTATACAGATATACCAATCAATAGCTATTTTTCAAAGATGCCAGTAAATTCAAAGTTGCTAAAGGAATAATGATGATGTCAGTGCAATAGATTCTGTACTGTAAGAACATCTAAGGTCAAACTAATCACAAGACAGCTGGTTTGTGCTTCTTTTTCTACGTCTGGATAACAAGATGCATATTATAGCATTTCTTTATACAACAAAACAGCTAGGTGTCAATGATCTCAGATTAATATTATTCATAAACATTTCTGAATTATGAGAATTTTCAGGTTTGCTCAGGTTTTGGATATAACAAAGTCAAAGCATTTCATTACAGTTTTAAAGTTCGAATCTTCACGTATGACTGCTAACTCTTAGTCAAATTATGGATATCCTGTTCAATTTAATAAAATTTGCTCTTACACTGGAAACAAAATTAATTTTACTGTTCAGACTAATTTATATTAGAATGAAGAAATTTATACTAGAATGAAGAAAACCTTTTATGTGCTAGTTTTATTCTTGAATAAAATGTGAAAACTGTTCCTATGTTTAATAGTTTAACAAATACTTCTATTTTGCATGTAACTTTACTTGATTTCTGCTGTGTATTTTGTCTTTTTCCCTCCCCATAAAAGATGAATGCCAACATTTCCCTCTGGAAAAAACAAAAATTAATTGTAGTCTTATGGCTTTAAAAAAAAACCAACAAAACCACCAAAACATACAAAGCATAAGTCCAATCAAGAGACTATTCCAGAATTCTTTCAGAAAACTCACACATGCTCATGTGAGATCCAGGTGATAAAAACATAACTAACATTGGTTAAAAAGACTTTTATGTGCAAAAATCATTTTTAGCCAGCAAAAGACTATGCAGAATAGTAGCAGAGATGTTATTAACATGAAGTCAGATGAATATGGTTTAACATTAAATCATCAAAAAGACCAGAAGTGAAAGAGAGAATACTGTCAAC